AAGGAGAAGGAGAAGGAGAAGGAGAAGGAGAAGGAGAAGGAGAAGGAATAGAAGGAAGAGGGGAAAGAGAAGGAGAAAGAGAAAGAAAAAGAGAAAGAAGAGGAGAAAGGAGGAGGAAGAGGAGAAGGAGAAGAAGAAGGAGAAGAAGGAGAAGAAGGAAGAGGGGAAAGAGAAGGAGAAAGAGAAAGAAGAGGAGAAAGGAGGAGAAGGAGGAGGAAGAGGAGAAGGATAAGAAAGAGGAGGAAAAAGAGGAGGAGGAGGAGGAGAAGGAAGAGGAGGAGGAATACATAGGGGGAAAAGGGGAAGAAAAAACTTGCAGGACTCCATCCACCCATCCTGGTGCTGATCACAACAGCTTTTCCCGCTGGCTTGGGATGAACACGGACAGTGCCAACACTGGGGGCTGGGCAGGAAGGACAGGCCAGGGGCAGGTTTGTGGTGCCCCCCTGGTAAAATCCCCCTGGTACATTCCCAGGGGCACAGAAAGCTCCACCAAAGCAGGGCAGAAATTAAAAATACACAATAAAACCCTCTGGAGTTAAAACTAACCCTAAAAAAATGTCATTAATTTTATTCTGGATCAGCTTTTCCTCCTGGTTCAGGACACTCTGCATGAATGGGAGGAGTTGGCCCAAACATCCATTGGAGGGGAGGAAGGATTCAGAATTAAATACTGAATGTTTAACATATAGGGAGTTAATATTAATTAATTAAGAGGATTCTCATCCTGAAATACCTATTAAGGCATTAATAATTCAGCTGCAACGGGCTTGGATGGGAACTTTGCCTGTCCAAGTGTCCATACAGTGAATTATATATAAAAAGGGCTTGTGCTCTTTTTATATGTATAAAAATCCCCTCTAAGGCACATTATAGGTTACTTTTGCTTGTCCCATGTTGTTCAAACCTTTTAAATGTTTATTTGCAAATAGTCACTGAAGGAGCATCAGGCCAAGCTTGACAGTCCCACCTGAAGGTGGCTTGGCTGGTTTTGGTGAAGCAAAACACCTGGAGCTGCAAACTGCTCTTTGATGTGGGATAAAGGACTCCAGAGAGCTTGATTTCAACTTGACACTCCTGGCACGGGGGGTAAAATTCATTGACAACCTTATTTGGAGTCATCAGGGATTCCAGGGGTTGGGATCAATTCCCAGCTCTGTCACATCCTGCTTTTACAACCCACCCAATCCCTTCGTTTCTCGGTGGTTCTGGTCACCAGCTGCGAGCAAGACACTTTTTGCTTGACTCATCTGCTGAATTCCTGGAGCAGGAGCCATAAATCTGCCCAAAATGCAGCGTTGAGCAAAACACTCTGGCCTAGGCTGGGCTGGGCTGGGCTGGGGGGACTTTCTGCCCTGCTTTGGTGGAGCTTTCTGTGCCCCTGGGAATGTACCAGGGGGATTTTACCAGGGGGGCACCACAAACCTGCCCCTGGCCTGTCCTTCCTGCCCAGCCCCCAGTGTTGGCACTGTCTGAGTTCATCCCAAGCCAGCGGGAAAAGCTGTTCTGATCAGCACCAGGATGGGTGGATGGAGTCCTGCAAGTTTTTTCTTCCCCTTTTCCCCCCTATGTATTCTTTCTCCTCCTTCTCTTCTTCCTCCTTCTCTTTCTCCTCCTTCTCCTCCTCCTTTTCCTCCTCCTCTTCCTCCTTCTCCTTCTCCCTCTTTCTTCTCCTTCGCTACCTTCTCCTTTTCCTCCTCCTTTTCCTCCTCCTCTTCCTCCTTCTCCTTCTCCTTCTCCTTCTCCTTCTTCTCCTTCTCCTTCTCCTTCTTCTCCTTCTCCTTCTTCTCCTTCTCCTTCTCCTCTCCTTCTTCTTTTCCTTCTCCTTCTCCTTCTCCTCCTTCTTCTCCTTCTCCTTCTCCTTCTTCTCCTTCTCCTTCTCCTCCTTCTCCTTCTCCTTCTTCTCCTTCTCCTTCTCCTCTCCTTCTTCTTTTCCTTCTCCTTCTCCTTCTCCTCCTTCTTCTCCTTCTCCTTCTTTTCCTTTTCCTTCTCCTTCTTTTCCTTTTCCTTTTCCTTTTCCTTTTCCTTTTCCTTTTCCTTTT